TTCAAGGGGGCAACATAGAGCAGAATGGTTTGGATAAACTCTAGTGCAATCCAGAAATAAAGAAGCTTTGAGTCGGAAGGGACCTTAAGCTCATCCCGTTCCACCCCTACCATGGGCAGGGATACCTTCCATTATCCCAGGCTGACCCAAGCCCTGTCCAGCCTGTCCTTGGACACTTCCAGCGATCCAGGGACAGCCACAGCTTCTCTGGGCACCCTGTGCCAGGGCCTCACTGTTTCAATCAGTGCCATCTACTGAACAGTATTATTTTAGTACCCTCTTTCCCTAAAAGGCTCATATTTGTAGCCATATCCAAATTTTAGTCTGTTTTATTGTAATACTGTTCCTGGAGGATGAAGAGTGCTCATAGCTCTTTTCTGGACTGCCAGATCTTCAATCATAAACTCATTTTACTGTGAATGTAGTTGTTTTGCAGCAGAGAATTATGGCTTTGGATTTTATTTGCGGAGCAGAAGAGTCCCTGCTGCTGCTGCTGCTGCTCCTGCTGCTGCTGCTGGTGGATTGTATCCTACAGCAATCCTCCTTTTCCAGGGAGAGCTGGGTTACCTGTACTGCCACTGACCAATAGTGGCCACATTTATCTGTCCTTCGTGCAGAACTTTTGCCAGACTGAGGAACATTCCACTACAAATCAGCTGCTGTTTTAAACTCGCTTTGTTCTATAAGCCTGGTGGATTGGAGAGTTCAGCCTCCATATCCATAGATACATAAATATGCCCTGTGTGGTCTCCCAAGGGGAAGGCAAAATGTGTTTTTAGTTAAGTTGCATGGGAATTTAATTGAAAGATTTAGAGCAATGCCATAAAAGAGTAAATCATGGCTGTGTGACACAAAGAAGATTTATAAAGCCAAATAAAAATACTTTAGCACCTTCACTATAATAATTTGCTTGATCTAAATGGAAACCTGTATTAATAATTTTGTCTGTTGGTAATTAAAAAAAAAAAAAGGGCTTTTATATTTGACTGATTTTTAGTCCTTTGGAGTGAAGTTATGGGGAAGACGGTAGCAAAGGGCAGAGAATTCTGTGGATGTGTCACCTCTCTGAACCTGCAAGTGCACTCAGCTTCCTTCCCAGGAATATTTATTTTAGTTAAACACATGCTTAACTAATTTCACACAAGCAGGTCCTCAGAAGGACTGTGAAGTGATTCAGATGAAGCACAGGCATGGCTTTAGACTGCAGCTTGTGTGGATGGTGGTCCTGAAATCTGGCCAGTCTCCAAGGCAGTGGGGCTACTGCATGTGGGATGGTCCTGCTCTGTGCAAGAAGGTCACTTGTCACACAGCAAAGTGCTTGGGGATGTTTTCGAGAGGAGAGCTGGGGCAGAGCTTTAGGAATGTGACCTTCAGCACAGGTTTAGTGAGGATTCACTCACTGTATTTATTGGAGAGCACTGTATATATTAAATGCTGCAGTGTTGATAGGTCTCGATAAGGACACCATAATAGCGGTTGAAATTGTAGGGGGTTTTGTGAGATGGTAAGTTAATGATGTAGCTGCTAATTTGAATTTAGCAGACGTTTTAAATATAGGTTTCTCTTACAGAGACAAAAGTTGCAATTTAAAGCTCTTTGGTGGTCTAAAAACAGCTTAATTCTCTAGTAGCATGGTAATAAGTACTAATCCAGCTTATACAGTGATTGTAGTATGTCATGTTTGTGAAAGATTGCCTAACTCTGCTTTCTCTGGGTTTTATGTTAATTTTTTTAAATTAAACATAAAACCTTATAACATCTTTATGCTGAGATAAACTGTTCAATTTAACTTGTGCTCAAGCAGCAGCTGTCAGGAATTATCATGTTTTGAGCGTTCTTGCCATCACCTTGTGTCTCTACCTCCCGGATACACTCTGTGGGATGATAAAGCTCACCTTGTTAGGATTTATTACTTAAATAATAACCCGAGGTAAAATGAAAGTTGATGTCACACGGAATGACAACTGACATATATTTATGTCGCACGTTCCATTATAATAAACTTTCCTTTCTTTCCCTTGTAATAGGTGTTAAATGGAAATATACTCCAGCATATCCTCCAGTGCCCTGCGTGAGTCCATTAGCCACGAACGAGGCTGCTCTGTGGGCATGTTCACGGGGACTCGTGCTGTCAGGTGTTATTTAAGCTTGTAAAGCCAGGGAAATTGGTTAGTGCTGGTAGTTAGCAGCTTCTCTGCCAGTAAAGAAGCAGCCATGAGAACCTCTCAGAGTTGGGATAAATTCTGGAAGTGCTGCGAAGTAACAGAAGTGAATAAAGGAGGGTGTTTTCTAATCAGTGGCATTATTTTAATTATTTGCCTTGCTGCAAGAAGCATAGGCAATGTCATTTCAGTCTCTACATCTGAATTTGCTAGTCATCACACCAATTTTCTCTTGACACCAGTTTATTGTGCTGAGCTGGGCAGTGATAAGTGATCTGCTTGTTAGTTGAGTCTTATCACTTTCTATTTACAGTGGAGAAAATTTAGATCTATCTCTTGTAAGCTTTCCAAGTTTTCAGCCTTTTTTGCCGTGCTAGAAGCCAGGCTCCAGTGTGCTCTAATGATGCTGTTGAATTCCTCCAGTTTGCTTAAGCCAAGACTACAGACACTATTTTTTTTTTGCCTGTGCCTGTAACCATCTTTTTTTTAATTTCTCCTAATTATCCCATTGTTGAGCTGAGCAAGTTAAGATGTGTCAGAGATACATGGTTTTGTCCAAGCTTATTTCTTGTATCTCTTCTCATTGTGTTCTCCATTGCCCTTTTCTCTCCAGTCACTGTGTTAACCTTGGTACCTCCACTGTCTGCACTTCCCACACTTGCTCTTTGCTGCTTCCCATGGTTTCAGTCCCAATGTGCTGTCTTTTTCCCCTTTCTTCCTTCAAACTCCGCCAGGTTCATCAATACCATCCTGTATTAGTTCAGTTTTCTTCCCTAACTCATGGCAGAAAAGAATTTTTTTGAAAAATCAGTACAGATAAACAATAATGCAATCCAGAAGTGGAGTCCTGGAATGGTTTGGGGTGGAAATGACCTTAAAGCTCATCTTGTTCCACTCCCTTGCCATGGACAGGGACACCTTCCACTATCCCAGGTTGCTCCAAGCCCCATCCAGCCTGGTCTTGAACGCTTTCAGGATCCAGGGGCAGCCACAGCTTCTCTGGGAAACCTGTGCCAGGCCTGCCTACCCTCACAGGGAGGAATTTCTTCCTTTATCTAATGTCAAGCCATCCTGTTTGCGTATGAAGCCTTTCCCCCTTGTCCTGTCAATAGCCAAATAGCCAAATTTTTTCCAAGCAATCATTTCTTCTCATTTTTGCAGGTTTTGGGGTATGTTTTCTCCAGTTTGCATTTTTCTTTGTCGCTCTGGTGCTGAGCAGGGATTTCACATTGCCCCTAGGAAGCTTTTCCTGCTCTGCTTTGAGCCTGGCACCCAGGTCATTCTGAGGTCCAGGGGTCATTACTCACAGTGACAAATAAGTAATGACTTACCTAAAACTATTTTTTCCTCCTAGTATGGCTCATAATAAACCTGAGCTCGTATCTTAATTGGCATTCTGTGTGACAGGCCCTTTAGAACCATCAAATATTTGATGAACAAGGCAATAACAGTCATCTCTTACTTTCGTAAGCCTTTCAGATCAGCATTGACCCAGGTTGATGAAGATGGATACAGGATCAATGCCCTAGGAAGTGCTTGTTCTGTAGATACAGGTTATCTAAGAAGGGTGCAAGTTAGCAGAGATATGATATAATATATATGATCTAGATGGATGTTTGGGGAAGTTCATATGAGTTTTGAGGGTGGCAGTCAGAATCAGAAGTTTATCACATTAGGGATGTCAGTTTGGCAGTAATCTTGAACACAAAATTAATGCAAAAATAGAAAGAATGGGAATAACAGTAGGAAAAAAACTTTGAAAAAATATTTTAAAAGAATAAAACATTGCATAAATCAGTTCTGAATCTGAATTACTAAAATGATGGATAGGAAAAAAAAATCCAATTCAGAAACAGACTGTGTTGAAAAGTAGTTTTTAAACTTAATGTTCTATGTCCAATAGATACCTGATCTCAGTTTTTTTTTTATTTTTTTTAATCCCCTGTGATAAGAAATATAGGGCACAAATGTCTGAGGCTCTGCAGCTCTCTGCATGTTCAGGATTCACTTTGCTTGGAAGCAGTGCTAGCCAGGGGCCAGGAGATGTTCACATGCTTTTGGTGAAATGGAGGGAAATCTGCCACTGGTTACAGTAGGGTCAGGATTTCATATTACACATTTAAATACATTCACTTTCTGATAGCCTGGGAAGTTACACGAGGCTAAGATAGCAGCTTGTTAGTGTTGTTTGTGCCTGCTTTATCTAATTGAAGGATGTGTGCAGTGTTGTGGGCTGTGGAATAGCAGGAGTGCAGCGGCAGGACTGGGGTGCAAGGGTAGAAACATTTCATTATAGAGAATACCTAATAAAAATGTGAAAATAAAACAGAAAAAGTGTGAGGAAAAAAAAAAGAAAAGCAGACCATACTAGATAAGTGCACTGCATAAATCAAAAAGGTTTATGTCATAACATGAACATGTGCCATTCCTGCTCATATATTGAATTTCAGTAGTTGGTTGCATAAAGAAGTAAAGTGTAATGAAACTGGCAAGCAAAGTATTCCCTAGTCAGCCTTATCTTTGTTCCATTTGTCCTTCAGATACAGCTTTTCTTGCCTTTTTCAATAAAATCCATCCAGCTTTTTTTTTATTTTGCATCTCTCTGTAACCGAGCCGGGAAGACCAATGAGATTCGGTGCTTTTCTAGTTGGGTTCTTAGCAGCTGCTTTTTAAGAGATCAAAACTTCGAATGCTGCTACATGGTATTAAGGCTTAGCTATTGATGTGTCCCTATAGGGGTTATGTTTTTCTAGGGGGGGCGGGAGTGGGGAGCAGGGGAAGGGGTGACCCCTGCGAGCACGCTCGCCAGCAGTAAACACTGCTCTCCTTGTTTTCCAGGATCCTCTTTGCAAGCTCGGTGCTTAACCTGGCTGAACTCGCCGCCCTCCGCCCTGACCTTGGCAAATTGAAAAAGGTCCTCTACTTCCATGAGAACCAATTGGCATATCCTGTCCAGAAATGCCAGGAAAGGGATTTTCAGTATGGATACAACCAGATTCTTTCATGGTAGGTGTGGCTCACACTGCTCCTTGTTATTTAAGGTGTTCTTCTGTCTACAGCACTGTAACCCTGAGGAATCCTTCTCCATATATTTTCTCTTGGTATTAATTAGTTTTCTATTTTTATTCTGTATTGATTTTTTAAAAAAATTAATTGTTCTGTATTAATGTTTCACAAAATCATGTGGTGACAGGAAATGGAGGATTGACTTCAGACTGAAAGAGAGTAGGTTTAGATTGGATATTAGGAGAAAACTCATCCCTATTAGGGTGGTGAGGCCCTGGCACAGGTTGCCCAGAGAAGTTGTGGCTGCCCCTGGATCCCTGGAAGTGTCCAAGGCCGGGTTGGATGGGACTTGGATCACCCTGGGATAGTGGAAGATGTCCCATGGCAGAGGATGGAATGGGATGGGCTTTTAGGTCCCTCCCAACCCAGGCTATTCTGTGATTCTATAAACGATGACCCTGTAGCAAACTGAAGTACCAGCAGAGTTCTGAGGAGAGCTTGATAAAATCAGTGTGTCTGAACCACTTTGTTCTAAAAAAATCATCTCAATTTATTGTATAAAGTCCTCCAATGCTGCCATGGTGTGCTCGTTGTTGGTGGGATTTCTGACCTGTGCCTTGGCTGAAAGTGGTGCTTTGTTTCATGGATGCTTCACAAAGCTGCAGCTACTCAGCTCGTGCTTGGCCATAGCTTTTACTGCATCCAGCTGAAATTATGGTGAGGGTTTTAGGGAAATAAACAGAAATTAAAATGTACTGCAGCACTTTTCCTGTGAAGAGAGGGCAGTAAACATACCAGATAAATCCTTATATTTCTTTCATCTAGTATTCAGAAATTGTGCAGTGCTAAAATACCCAGACATTTTAAAGGCTGCGGTCCTTTATTGTTGCTAAAAACAAATGTATTTCTCAAATCTGAGTTAATGAAAGAAGTTAATAACAGCACCACTGAAAAGCTTTGTGGTTAGGCACTGTGCAGACCTAAGTGAAACAGCAAAACTCACTTGTTTTAAACTGAAATAAATTCATTTCCATGATGTTTCTCACCTCTCTCTTGGTGGAAGAATTATTAAGAATAGGGCTTGAGCCTTTTAAGGTGCAAGTTAAGCTTTAGCATCTTTATAATCGAAGGCAGTTATGCTGAAATTTCTCAATTAATGATCTGTGTGTGCTCTGGCCATTCTGCAGCTGCCTCTGCCACAGTGTTTGCAACATGTTTCACTTACTGAGCTGTAAAGATGGGAAAGTGAAGTGAAAGATCTTTTGAAAACAGTAGCAGCCATTTTCAGATGTTCTAACAAAAAGAAATGTTTTCTGGCACTGGGAAAGGAATATTTTTTTGTATATATATTTTGCTTTTTCGTGGCAGTTATTTTTCATACATCTGTTGTAAACTGAAGAACATTTATTCTCAAAATATGCATTTTAAGTATCTTCTTTTAATAGATAAATAAAGATGATTTTTACAGATCATAGAATCATGGAATGGTTTGGGTTGGAAGGGACTCTCAAACCCATCTAGTTCCAGCCCCATGCCATGGGCACAGACACCTTTCACTAGACCACGTTTCTCCAAGCCCATCCAACCTGGTTTTGAACACTTGCAAGGATGGGGCAATAGATGCTCAGTTCTGTTCCCTTCAGCCTCCAGTATCATCTTTGTGTAGTTGCATAATATTCATCTCCCATTTCTGTTCTGCTGAAACCCCAATTTGACAGAAGATAGAAGCCATGTCCTCTGTATTATTCTTCACACTCCAGTGGTCATCTGCAAGGAGGTGACATCTTCCAAATATGTTGGAAATGGGGAAAATGTACCTTTCCACTTTTACACAGAGGTTTTGGAGACTATTAAAATTAGAGCATTTTGAACCAAGCAGGTTGGTGCTTTGGATCATTAAAAAATCAAAATTCTGATGTTTGTAAGGAGATAATCTTTCTAATTTACTCCTGATTTCCAGAGCCTGCAGGAAGGAGTTAGGGCAGATAAGACTTCACAAACAAGAGAAGGTGAGAGGATGTTGTTGGAGCCTTTCCTGTGTGTCAGAGAGCAGTAAAGAAACGTGTCAGGTTCCTGCCTCATGTCTTCTGTAAATCAGTGCAGAAAAGATGATTTCTGTACAAAGCTGAGGCTTCCAACAGGTTAAAAACCATAGGTGGGGAAGAGGGTAAGATGCCAGAAAGCATTTCAGCTCCTGCAGCCAGCTTGAAAAGGATTATTTCTCTCTAATGTTAGGGTTTCTTTGCTTTTCCTGCTGACTCCTGCTGCTTTGGTGAGCAGTGTCAGTTCTCTTTCTTGACCAGACAGCAGAAAGATGCAGAGAGGATGAATGACAGCCTCTCACCTCAAATGTACTTTTCACCAGCCCTGTGACTTATGAACACATGTCCTCAATGTATCTTCTGACCTGTAGGTCTGTATTACAATATATAACGTATTGAGAAAACCAGCTGGCCATAAAGCATTTCTTACCTCAGTTAGTGCTGTGTGTGTTGGTGTAGCTCAGATTGTGGCAGCACTGCCAGGATAAACTTCCAGATACTTCAGGTTTTTCATAGCTGCTTATTTCCTCCAGACTGACTCTAAGTGGAGAAATAATACCTACATTATCATTGAATTATATCTTAATATTACTGATCTGGCCAATTTTAAAACACAGCAATAGAAATAAAATGTTAAATTTATATGCCAATTTTTTCAAACCTTTTTGTGGGGAGGGATATTGTATTTTATTTTTATATATAATGGATATACTCTTAATCAGGATTACATCTACATAGGTTAAAATAACATTCAATTTCTTTAGTGTCCTGCTGCCTGACACACATGGTCAGTTGAAGGTAGGTTAACCAAAGGGGTAAGTTGTCCTTCAATAAAAAAGATTTCTGAGGAATTTTTATTTTTATTCTAACTTTCTGCAAAAGTCAGATTACAGCAGGCCTTATCAGTTTAGAATGCTTCTGAGAGATGATGATAGTAACACTATATTTACCATTTTATGAATAAAACTCCACAACTAGAATAGGATGTGCTCCTTTAGATTAATAATAGTAATTTATTATTAGTTAAAAAAGGTTAAACATGTTTTCAAAGGGTGAATAGAGAGAAATGACATTTCTGATTAAGGTAAGCTACTCCTAATTCATATGAAAAGGCTGATTTTAATTAGCATCCACTTGTACCTTTTACTTGTTTATGAGAATATATGTCCTATTTCCTTTGCCTGTAGAATAATTCTGTCCCTTTTGTGGCAGCAATATGTTCATTCATCTTCACCGCTTTTTACAGTTTGGTTGCTGATGTTGTGGTGTTCAACTCTGCTTTTAATATGGAATCCTTTCTTAAATCCATTGGAAAATTTATGAAGCTGATTCCTGACCACAGACCTAAGGATTTGGAAAAAATAATCAGACCGAAGTGCCAAGTTCTTTATTTTCCAGTCAGGTTTCCTGATGTGAGCAGGTCAGTACATTTTCCACGTCATAAATTGCCTCCAGCCTGTCAAAACTCTGTATTTATGGTGACGTTCTAACTAATCAGCTAAAGCATTGTTAATGAATGAGTTTGATAATATGCAAAATCCCATAATTGATAAATGTATTTCAATAATCAGAGGCTATTGAGGCAGCCGAGCCTGTCCTCTGTGCCTGTCGTGCAAACTTGCATCTTTCAGGATGAGTGATTTCCCACTTGTTTGAGTGATTTCCCACTTGTTTGAGTGATTTCCCACTTGTTCCAGCCTTCCAAGAGTTGCCTGCTCCTGGGCTCTGTGCGTATTTTTTCAGGGGAGGTCAAGGAGGAGACAGAAATGCTGGAGACCAGTGAAAGTGATAAGCCTGCAGCCAAGGAGCTATTTTATCCTCTCCTCCCTCCCCTACCTCTTTTTATGGCTTTCCAGGTAGGCAGAAGCATTCCTGTGGCAGGGAGCAGGCTTGCAGATGTTGGCATTTGCTGCAGCAGGAGTTGCTCTTCGCTCCTCCTCGCTTACTCTGAAGGACATTTTTTATTGCCCTTGTTTCAGAGCCCATCCTGAAATTAGCAGTGGGTTATGTGGCTCAAAGGGAACATTCACAGGATCCTTTTCACTTTTGATTAAACCTGGTGCAATTGTTTTTCCTGTTATAAGGGACTCTCCTCCCACTGAACAGGAACTTTGCTTCAGTGGGACTGGCACTAAATAGAGTGTGATTCTGCAATTTGATTATACTCTTAAACCCAACACCATGCTGGGTACATTTTTCTGCTGAAATAAGGATGGGAAGCACTGCAGTGACTTTGCAAGAGCCTGCCTTTTGATCTGCTAATAAGTTCTGGCCACAGTTGAGATCTTTGTCCCTGACCAGCCTGTACTTAGTTATTTCAAAGGCTAAATACACGTGTGGTAGTTTGAGGTAGAGAATTTTTTAGTGCAGGAGCTGAGGTTGTGCTCTCTGATGTACTCAAACTGCAGGGTTTGAGTTTCAGTGTCTTGGAAGACTTTGTATCCTAAAATACTTCTGCAAATCATTTAGAAATCAATCTCTAAAGTCTTTAAACGTCTATTTTTGACAAGTGGATTAAAATCATCCAGTGTTTCTTAGGGACTTGGCTGTCCTGGATGGCAGCATAGTTCAGTACCTGTATATCTTTGAGGATCTACTATTCCCCCTTAGAGTCCAGAGCTTTTGAGTGCAGGGAATGCTGTGGGTGCTCAGCATATTTGACGTGCAGCCAGTTCCAGAGAGGCTCTCGGGGTTTTGGCATACCTTAGGAATCATGTGGCCCAGACCTGGTTTTGGAGATGAAGTTATGATAACCCTGTCTCGTATATTACATCAGCTCTTTTGGACTTGTCAGCCCTGGCAGATAGGGTCAGACAGGATCTGACAAATTAGGCTGAAGTCATCATACTCACAGGGCTTGTTTGTCCAAAGCAGGAGGTGATTAGGTGGGTAAAATCATTAGCCTGCTACCCAAACTGGTGCAGTAGGAAGATCTCACATCTCACTGTGTGCTCTTTTAGAGTCCTGCTCTCATACTAAATCCCATCTCACAAGGCAGGACACCTTTCCCGTTTTTATTGTGGCCACTGCACTTGAAATGATACCAAAAACCTCTTTGCAACAGTGATGGGCAAAATTAAGATGTTCATAAGCAATTGTGTCATAGTAAAACTCACAGCAGAGTGATTAGAAACAAAGATTAATTTCAGCTCTATTTTATCTAATATATATTTTATACAACAGCTAATTCTAGATGTGAGATCTGAGGTGTTTAGACAAAGTCCAATGTCAAGACAGGAAAAAAAAACCTGAAGAAAGGGCTGCTTCTGCCTGACTCTGAAGTTCCTTGGGCTTTGACCTTCAGCTGCAGCCAATATTTGCTATTTCTTTACATGTTTTACATAAAGCTGAATGCACCTGTGGCAATTCAAAGCTGGTTTTTTAATTTAGATTGTATTAGTATAGTGACTGAATGGAGATTGAGGAGAAAAAGGTTAAGAAAAATTGTGGCCAAGCTAAAATTTATAAAGCAAGCTCTTAGCCCAGAGTGTTTTTCAAGTTATTTTCAAATGGTAATTTGCTTTATCCAAACCAAACTCATACAGTGTAAGTAAGTGATTATTTGCATGACTGACAATCATTTCAATGCCTGCAGTCTTTTTAAAATGCATAATTTTGCTGAGATGTTGGGAAAATATTTAAAAATTCTGAAGGCAAAATAACCAGGGTGGGTTTATTATTTTTTATTTTGACCTCTTTTATTTTGTGTGTGAATGTCTCAGGGTGTGTTTGTGTCTGAAACATAATCTACATTTGGATTGGGGAGAGAGAGGTGATCTGAAAAATCATCCTCATACGTGTGATGGGGAGCTTTTTAAGATTATTTTAGATTAATATTGCAGTTGTAGGGCAAAATAAAATATATCTGAGCCTTGATCAAAACCAGTGTAATGAAGGATCATGTCACAAGAGTTAATCCTGTAAAATATCTACCTTTTAATGTAATTACTGTAGGTGATGGACACAAACAGCACAAGCAGCATAGTAAATGATCACTTAAGAGGGGAGGTATAATGATGAAGGGTATCCTAGGAAACACTTGTGGATACTCTGAGAGGCACCCCTATAATATGTAATGTGTATTTAAATATTTCAAATGGGCCTCTAACTGCTGCTTTTCTACTTCTGAGGGGAAGTTGTTGATGCTTTTTTATAAAGAATCTTTTTTTTTAATAAATATTTGTCATTAGGATCCATGTTGGTGTTCCCAGAGCAAACCCAGCAGACTGTGGTCCTTATCTGGCAATGAGAAGAGATGAAAGGATTTGAGGATTTGACAGAATAAGATATTTACTGACCTAATCCTCCTGTTTTCTGCTTCTGACAATGACTGGCTTCCATATTACATCCTGTGGTGCCAAGGCTGCTCCATATTTAGCCAGCCCATATGATTTCTGGGTTGAATTCTGCCCTTTGTACGTTCTGGTAAAGTATAGGTGTAGGAATAAATATCAGAGTATTTGTAAGCTTGGAGACAGAAAAGCCCTCTGAGTTCAGGCTGTCCCTTCACAGTGCACTGGTATTGCAAAGGATGGAGAGCAGTGGCTGATCTGCCATGTGTGCTGTGTATCAGACTGGGAGTTTATAGCACATGATTAAATACATTGTAATTCACACTTACCTGGCCATTGACTTAATTTTAGTGTATTTTCTATTGTAACATAAATAAAATCCAATTTTGTTTTCACTGTACGATCAATAGAGTCTCTTTTGATACAATATTTTTCCACTTTTGCACTGTAAAATGATGGTCAAGGAAGAATTTCCCTTTTGGCTGATGTTGTCTTTGGTACTTCTCTACATGCCAGCAGAGCCCTTTGGAAAACTTCTGCAAGGTCTTTGTTGGTATTTGGATATCCACAGGACTGTTATCCTGGTCTAGTGGAAGGTGTCTCTGCCTGTGGCTTCCAGCCCAAACCATTCCATGGTTCTATAATTTTATATGAATTCTCTCATCCCATCTGTGCCCACATTGTCAGTGGCAGTTTGCAAAGCAGGGTCAGATTAGGTACTCCTTGGAATTCATTCCAATGAAAATTTTAATTTAGATTCTGGTTATTATTACTGTTCCTCTGATTGTAGTATATCTTTATTGTTATCACACTGTGGTAGGAAAGGAAGATGTTTTTATAAGCAAGAATGAAGTAACATTCCTAAGAGCTCCAAATTCACGTTGGACTGAGGTGGAATAATATAAAAAAAACATGAGTATGAGGATTATAGCAGAAAATAAAGATTTTTTTTTTTTTTTAAATGGAACTTGTTTGTGAGTATCCTGTAGTATCTTCATTACACATTTTGAAGTAGAATTAAAGATTTTAGACTTGTTTCTTCATTTGCTTTTATAACTTAGTACAGTTAACAGGACATTCTCAACCATTTGGGCTTATATTTTTTAGTTATAGTTTGAGAGAGGCAGAATTTGCCAATTCAGAGAGTATTTTAGGGCCAGTCAAATGAGTTCCTGAGTAAAGCAGAAGTTTTTTAAAAGACACTGACAGTATCTCTTGTGCTGAAACACATGTGGAGGTGCCTGTTTTGGGGAAGTAAAAAAAAAAAAAAATTAATTGCATCACTTGTATCAGGTTTGCAGGGCTGAACTTAACTGGAAAAATGCAGATGTCAATGAGCAAGGAGAGACTTGAATTTGCAGGAGCCCAAAGCTATGGCTGGGCACTGGGGATGTGTCTGCATTGCAGGGAAAGATGCTCAGCAGTGGTACCCATGTGAGCTGTAGTGAACTGTCCTGCATGTGGGAAGCCATAGATAGCTTTGAAGAGCAGTTTTTGGCTAATTAGCCTTCCAGTGAAATAGCATATATTATCTTAGGTGGAGTGCTAATGACAGTGACTCTGGTACTGGGGGTGCCTACTGCCTTTGGTGGTGGCTTGGGCATCTCTGTGGTGCCCTCTCCAGTGGCACAGCTTTGCTGCCACCATGGTTTATGGGTCATTAGCATAATTAGAAAGTGCCAATAGACTGCTCCTACCTTGGGGCTTGCTGCTGAAGAGCTGGGTGATGGAAATTGCTCCCCAGAATGTCATTCCTCCTCACCTGCCGCAAGCAGGATTTGAGGATTGGTGCTGGCAGGCTGAGAGTTAGACAGTGAGCACAAGGGATGATCTCAGGATCTGGGGCACAACCCCTGCTGGGAGGAAAGTGCAGTGTGGGCTCAAAAGGGGCATCAAATGGAGTCTTTCCATTGTGGAGCAGTTGGCAGTGGGGTGGTTCCTCGTGCCCCTCTAGGATTAGTGCTGAGGTAGCTGCACCTGTAGTGAGGGCTTAGGTGGTTCAATGAAGAGCACCTTCATTTTCAGTGGCATTTTCTCAGATGATGCTTCCACCACACACTCATCCTGTGCTGTCTTGGGTGATGTAGGAGTTTCTGTTCTCCTTCTGGATCATGGAAGAGCTGTTGAA